GGTCTATGATGGATCTTGTGACTGGTTAGGTGTGAGTCATCAGTGAGAGGCTTGTGATGGGTCTTGAGTTGAGGAGGATAATAATAATAATAATAATAATAATAATAATAATAATAATAATAATAATAATAATAATAATAATAATAATAATAATAATAATAATAATAATAATAATAAAAGTTGGAAGGGACCTTGGAGGTCATCGAGTCCAACCCCTGCTCAGGCAGAAAACCCTATACCATTTCAGACAAATGGCTATCCAGTCTCTTCTTAAAAACTTCCAGTGTTGGAGCATTCACCGCTTCTGGAGGCAGGTTGTTCCATTGGTTAATTGTTCTAACTGTCAGAAAGTTTCTCCTTAGTTCTAGGTTGCTTCTCTCCTTGATTAGTTTCCATCCATTGCTTCTTGTCCTGCCTTCAGGCGCTTTGGAAAATAGCTTGATTCCCTCTTCTTTGTGGCAGCCTGAGATATTGGAACACTGCTATCATGTCCCCCCTCATCCTTCTCTTCATTAGACTAGAGACAAACCCAATTCCAGCAGCCGTTCCTTATATGTTTTAGCCTCCAGTCCCCTGATCATCTTTGTTGCTCTTCTCTGTACCCTTTCTAGAGTCTCAACATCTTTTTTACATCGTGGTGACCAAAACTGGATGCAGTATTTCAAGTGTGGCCTTACCAAGGCATTTTAAAGTGGTATTAATACTTCACGTGATCTTGATTCTGTTAATGCAGCCTAGCACTGTGTTGGCTTTTTTGGCAGCTGCAGCACACTGCTGGCTCATATTTAAGTGATTGTCCACTAGGACTCCGAGATCCCTCTCACAGTTACTACTATTACACCAGGTCAGGGTCATTGGGAGGTGAACTGCTGGTGAGGGGGAGGAGGGGGCTTGTGTGGGTTGGTTGAGGGTCGGTGCTGTCTCTGGTTGGCTATGCGGTTGATTTGGATTCTGAGGGGTTCGCAGGCTAGTTGTCAATCAATGTGTCTGTTTTGTTTTGCTGCACATGCCACCACCAGGTAATCCTGTGGCTTGTCTTGTGCTTGGTTCAGATGGACTTCCTCCCATAGTACTTCTGGCGTCCCTTGAAGCCCCAAGCCCGTCTCCTTGCCCCACATGGAAGCACAAGGTCCCCCTCACAGTCACTTCCAGGCAGGGACAGAGGCCAATCTGTCCTCAGGAAGGGCCCTGAGTGCCCCCTGGACTCCAACCGCAGAAGGACAGGTTGCTTGAGCAGCTCAAGAAGCCCCTGCTGGACTTCTGCCACTCCTTCTGTCTTAGCCTGTCTCCGTTGTCAGGACAACCCAGCTGCCAATCATGTAGCAGCAATGGCCAATCAGACAACACCGCTAGACAGGCAGGCAGGGAAGGAAGGCTGAGGGGAAGGCAAGATGGCTGCTAGGGGCGGTTTCTGTCACCACCGCCTTGACGACAACTGTGCTGAATGAACAGAGCCAAAGAGTGAAATTTCAATTCAATTCAATTCAATTCAATATAGGAGAGGCAGCCAGGAAGGAGGCAGCAGCTGAGGAAACCGTGGGAGAGGCGCTTTTTGGCTTCCCTCAGAACCACCCTGAGGGGAAAATTTCCCTCAGAGGCAGCCAAGTGGGGAGAAGTCAGGAGGAAAAAAAAGGAAGGGAAATTAAACTGAACGGAAATAGAAATCAGAAATTTTAAAAGATTTTTTTTAAAAAATGAACTCTGTGGGAAAAGGGACTTGGCTTCAAAGAGAGCGACCACTGAGATGTACAGGGATTAATACGACAGAAGTAGAGAAATCGGCCGTATTTGTAGTCCTCACTTGGCGACGTAATAAAGCATGTCACGACTCTCATTGATCGCTAAACATTTTAATAGTTCAGTCTCAAAGATGCTTTTTTCAAGAGGCAACTGGACTTCTTTATTTTTCTTTGAAGATGTTTCGTTTCTCATCCGAGAAGCTGAGGAAGCTTCTCGGATGAGAAGCGAAACAGCTTCAAAAAAAACACAAGGAAGTTTAGTTGCCTCCTGGAAAAAGCACCTTTGGGACAACCATAACCTGGATGACTGAGAATCTCCATACACATTTAATAGTCCAGGTTACGGGCATTAAACTGCATGGCGTCACGTGACATATCATAGCCTATCGTGATGTTTTTTCCCTTGGCGGAGCTGGTTTGGGCGTGGCCGCCAGTTTGACACCCCTGGTCCAAGTTATCACTTTGTTTATTTATACTTCATATTTCTTAACTGCCCATCTCCCTCAGGGAATGGCTCTTATCGTTGTTAACTGAATCCCTCCAGGTTTAGGTAAGATCCCATCCAGATCTCAAGCCATTCCCAGCTTGGTCCTTCCTAACCTCAGTGAGGTACAAACAGTTCTGGACTCAACAACCACAATTGTGCCCAAGCAAGACAATTGCCCCGTTTTATGACTTTTCTTGTCACTATGGTTAAGTGAATCGCGGCACCTGTTAAAATTAGTAACACAACTGTTAATTGAATCTGGCTTCCCATTGACAGTCAGAAGGTCACAAAAGGTGATCACATGACCCTGGGACACTGCAACTTCCCTTACAGGAAGACCTCAACTTACCATTTGTTTAATGGCTGTTCAAATACAACAGCATTGAAAAAAGTGACTTATGACCATTTTTTTTACACTTACAACCATCGCAGCATCCCCCATGGTCATGCCAAATTCGGACACTGGACAACTGGTTCATATTTATGATGGCTACAGCGTCCTGGGATCATGTAATTGCCTTTTATGGGCTTCTGGGGAATCCTGATGTATTTCCCAATTACAGTGATTCACTTATCAACTGTAGCAAGAAAGGTCTGCAAAATTCACTTTAACAACAGCCTCCCTTAACAACAGAAATTTGGGCTCAATTGTGGTCATACTTCGAGGACTACCTGTATGAAGAACCGAGCATAACTACTATTCGTTCAGCACAGCATAACGTTGCTGAACCCTTGTAACCACCATTAACCGCGGACTTCCTCTATATTGGAGACACGGAATAAAACGTTATGAAAGTATAGTGAAAATGGACTTTAGAGAATCTAGTGTAGATAAAGAGTCTTTAGAGAAAGAGATTAAAGGGCTTGTAGATAGTAAGTAGTTAAAACAGGAAATAGTTTTATTATTAAAATTACATTTCTGCACGTATCTTCAACTTTCTTTGATTTGAAAGCTTTCCTTTTGTGAAAGAAAACTATCCCCGCAGTCACATTTTCTATCCAAATTCTGCCCAGATTTCCAGTGCTTTGTCTCTATTGAGTCTGAGTCAATAGAGTTATTGATGGTTCAAAAAAACCCAACCCCCCCAAAAAACATCAACCAAGCCCTTTGTCCTGGCAATAAGCTAAAAACAGTTATTTGTCCATGGCAATGATGGTCATTAATATCCAGATCATGTTGCACATATATTATATACAATTAAGAAGCTTCTGCAGAGTGAATATCCTACTTTTACCAGCTAGAATTTCTGAGAATAAAATAGCAAACATTTTTAAGTGTTTTTAGTTTTTTGCTTTTCAGTAAGAAAAGATGGCTAGTTGCAAGATGGATGGACTCAGTTACAGTGGCAACGGATGTACCCTTTGAAAACCTGAAGGATCAGGTTAGGCCAGGGGTAGTCAACCTTGGCTCTTTTATGACTCGTGGACTTCAACTCCCAGAATCCCTGAGCCAGCATGGCTCAGCTTGGAAACCTCTCCCTTTCCCCTCAGCATGGCTGGCTCAGGAATTCTGGGAGTTGAAGTCCACGAGTCATGAAAGAGCCAAGCTTGACTACCCCTAGGTTAGGCCGATTGTCTTGGGAAAAAAACTATGTGGTAATTAAGAGTTGATAAGAACTCTTGTGGCAGATAATCAATCAAAAACTCCCAGGATTGAAAAGCTTCTCCTATCAACGGTTTCAAAAGTTAAAAATTTTATTTCCTCTCTTCATTGCTTCTTTGTGTACACTATCTATACTGCTGTATAAATAATCCAGCCATTTAAATTTACTTCACAGTGCGGACAGTTCTATGCAAATTATAAATATTGTTATTTCTCCCTTGTGTTAGGTTGTTAAGGAATTATCAAATCAATATAGCTTTGCCAGAAAGAAGCACCGAGTTTATTTCCTGTACACTGGTGGATCACCCTTTAAATGGTTGGATCATCACGGTCCAATGAAAATAAAGTTCCAGAAACCTCCATAAAGTTACAAAACTGTTTCCTGATGGATTCACTGAGGAACAATAAGATAACTGTTCCTATACTATACTGTTAACTATTCCTATACCCAGCACTGATGGTGTTGCCTTGTTTAATAATGAAATGTGTGCAAGAAAACAACCGAGCTCAGAGAGCATCAGGGGCCTATCATTTCCATCCTGAGCTACAAATATTCTCCTCCATTTGCTCCTGTACTTTCAACACCCAATGAAACCCATGTTAGTACCAGTTTCTCTCCAAGATTAGATTCTCCACAAACTATCCCAAGATTTTATTCAAAAGGGAAACTAGAACACTGTCCACCAAAGAATATATTTATTATAGTACTAGAGACAGAAGCAAAAATCTAAAAAGGGAGGAGATCTCTCCTTATACACTTACACAAACGAGAATATACATACGATTGTCGAAAATAATTGTATTAAGCATGTGATGTGATGGGTGCCTTGGTTAGTGAAGTCACATGTGGAATCCGTGAGACAGTGGAACAGAGTTACAAAAATAATGATGTATTTGAGTGAACAGTGTGTTATACGAACATAGTAAGTTTCTAAAGATATTTTTTTATGGCTTGTCATATAAGGGCCTTGCTTCCCAAAGCCTTTGCTCACCCCTCTCAGTATCTCTGTACTCCTGGGCCTTCTGTGGCTGAGTAGAGAGAGTTAATTTTGCCCCTGGGAAGGGGATGGTTTTGCCTGTTCTAATCAATGCCATTTTTTTCTCCTACAGTGCAGGCTCTATGGATAAACTCCTATGCATACTCTTATGAGACGCAAGCTGACTGCGCAACCTGAAGCTCATTCCACACTCCATACACTGATACGGTTTCTCTCCTGTGTGGATCCTCTTATGAATAGTGAGAGATCCATTTTCACGGAAGCTCTTTCCACACTCTGTGCACTGATATGGTTTCTCCCCTGTGTGGATCCTTTTATGAGACGTTAGGGATGATCGCATTGTGAAGGTCTTTCCGCACTCCATACACTCATATGGTCTTTCTCCGGTATGGATCCTTTTATGGGAAGTAAGGTCACTGCTGCGCTTGAAGCTTTTCCCGCATCCCATGCACTCATACGGTTTCTCTCCTGTGTGGATCCTTTTATGGGAAGTGAGATCACTGCTTAATCTGAACGTCTTTCCACACTCCATACAGTGATACGGTTTTTCTCCCGTGTGGATCCTTTGATGAGATGTAAGCTGACTGTTCAATCTGAACGTCTTTCCGCACTCCAGACATTGATAAGGTTTCTCCCCTGTGTGGATCCTTTTGTGGGAAATAAAGCAACCTTCTTTGCTGAAGCTCTTTCCACACTCTGTACACTTAAACGGTTTCTCCCCCGTGTGGACACTACTATGGAAAATAAGGGAATTACTCTGGTTGAAGCTCTTTCCACACTCCAGACACTGATAGGGTTTCTCCCCCGTGTGAATCCTTTTGTGGAAAGTAAGGGAGCTGCCTCTGCTGAAGCTCTTTCCGCATTCAATACATTTATATGGTTTTTCTCCCGTGTGGATTGTTTTATGGCAAATAAGGGCAGAGCTGCCTCTGAAACACTTGCCACACTCCATGCATTTATACGGTTTTTCTCCTGTGTGGATCCTTTTATGGCTAGTGAGATTACTCCTGTTTTTGAAGCTCTTTCCGCACTGCACACACTTGTATGGTTTTTCTCCCGTGTGGATCCTCTGATGTGCAGTAAGGTGACTATTCCATTTGAAGCTCTTTCCACACTGCATACATTTGTAGGGCCTCTCCCCGGAATGGATCATCTGATGGGTCGTAAGAGAGTATCCCTGGCTGAAGCTCTTTCCACACTCCATACATTTGTATGGTTTCTCCCCTGTGTGGATTGTTCTATGAGACACCAGGGCAGAGCTGTCTCTGAAGCACTTCCCACACTCCGTGCATTTATATGGTTTCTCCCCTGTATGGATCCTTTTGTGGGAAGTAAGATGACTACTGTTCCGGAACCTTTTTCCACACTCCGTGCATTTGTATCGTTTCTCTCCCGTGTGGATGGTTTTATGGCAAGTGAGGGAACTGACGTTGCTGAAACTTTTCCCGCATTCCGCACAACTGTACGGCTTCTCCCCCGTGTGGTTCCACATATGATACGTCAGCTGACTGCTCAACCTGAAGCTCTCTCCACACTCGATGCACGTGTATGGTTTTTCACCCGAGTGGATCCTTCTGTGAGAAATAAGATGACTGCGTTGCCTAAAGCTCTTCCCACACTCTATACATTTATAAGGTTTTTCTCCGGTGTGGATCCTATGATGGGAAGTTAGGTGGCTGCTGCTCCTGAAGCTCTTTCCACACTCCTTGCATTGATATGGCTTCTCATTGTGAAGCTTCGTCTGGACATTAAGCAGACTGCTCTGCTTGAGGCTTTTTTTCCCATGCTCTAGATATTTATGCGCTCTTTTGCCCGTACGTGTTGTTTTTTGGGAAGCAAGGTTACCGGGATCACTGAGCTCCTGTCCGGACTCTGTGCATTTATAGGAATTCTCCCCAGTGTGGATTTCTGGACATGAAGGAGGAGGGAAGGTCTGCCCGCAAGACAGTTCAGGATTTCTGCCTTCATCATAGTTGTATTCCGTCTCAGTTGCACACTGATTATCTAAGTCCAAGTTATTTTTTAATATAGTGCTATGTAGTAGCCAAGAGTTAGTTCTGTTTTCCGTGTGTTCCTGCTGGATTGAGGACTCAAGGACTTCCACACCTTGGGAAAGGGATGCATTATCTCCCATATACTGAAGGTGGTATTCGTCCTGTATCTTTGAGCTCCAGTGACTTTCAGAAGTCTCCTGTCCCACTTCTTCTTCGAATGTTTCTGACATCACTCTATCTAGTTCCTGATCATTCACAGTTTCCTGCTCATCTCCTACTTGGGGGGAGGGGGGGAATGAATGAGAAAAAGAAAAAAAGAGAGAGATTAAAAAAAGAAGTGTAAATCTTCTACCGTAAGACCTTTCACACAGAAACTGGGTGAGGCACCAAATATCAACTCCTATTAGTTAATAAGCTAATTCTAATGGGAGTTGATCAGCATTTCCAAAGTTCTCTTTCTATATTGTTAAAACTTATATACCTTAGTACTCAACTGCTTTGATACCGATCAAATGCATTTTGACACCAACATTTTGTCCCGCTACTCATCATTTGTTTGGTACACAACACACAAGCTAGAACTTGTCGTTGTCAGCTGCCTTGTGAATCACTACATTATTCCTTATGGGAAAAAATTGTTTGGTACTCATCGTTTTTGGTACTCATCATGCCTCCCGGAGCCAATTAACAATGAGTGCTGAGATACCACCGTATTAGATTTTGTTTACACAACTATTTCAAATGTTATTTCTTTGCTGGAGTATTTCCCACTGATTTCGTGGGCTGTTTTTTTTCCCCCTGGCCAATAAAGAAAGATTTAAACAAGGAACAAAAAAGGAAGAGGAAAGAAAAAAAGCAGTAATGAAAATGTGTTTTAGTTAAAAGGATTGAGATGTTGCTTGCAAGCATTAGGATTTTGGATTTTAGCCAACTGGATTTTAGCCAATCAACCGAACACGAAACTTTTAAATCTTGGAGACCATCATTAACCTGGATTGGCTAGGGCAGGGGTAGGCAACCTTGGCTCTTTTATGACTCGTTGACTTCAACTCCCAAAATTCCTGAGCCAGCCAGGCATGCTTGGATGGAAATGAATTAAAATCTTGAAAAAGAAAGAAGGGGAAAGTCTCAGGGACAAATGACTGCATAGGGCTGTGGTGGCGAACCTATGGCACGGGTGCCAGAAGCGGCACTCGGAGCCCTCTCTGTGGGCACGCGTGCCATTGCCCCAGCCTTGCCTCCCCCTGCGACCCCCTCACCAGCAGCTCCCCTGGAGGAGAGTCACCCCCGTGTGTCCCACACAGAGCAGCGCAGCCAAGGACATGGCAGCTAGGCAGCATAGACAAGACTCTGCCCTCACACCCCATCACGCACAGTTGATGCTGGGGGGCGCGGGCAAGGGCGTGGCCGCCATGGCGCTGCTGGGCTGCCTGGGCGATCTGCAGTGGGCCCTGGAGGCAGTGAGTGGCCCTGCAGGCGGGGGGGGGGGCGGAATGGGGGCAGGGCAGGGGATGGAGCGGGGGCTGGGCCAGTTTTTGGGCACTTGGTCTCTAAAAGGTTCGCCATCACTGACCTATGGCATGCGTGCCCAGGTGGAACGCAGAGCCCTCTCTGTGGGCACGCATGCCATCACCCCAGTCCTAGCCCTTCAGCTGGGTTTTATAAAACCTTTTCGCTTTAGGCCTCCGCCGCCGTGTGCAAAAAAAAAAAAAGGTTCAATGCTTGGAATGTATGCGTAACGGAAGAGAAGCCAGACCTAAGCATGA